GGGGCTCCGCGGGGGTCTGGACTCGCCACCGCGCTGTTTTTCAGCTCCGTGCCTCCCTCCGAAGATGTGTGACGACGAGGAGACCACCGCACTGGTGTGCGACAACGGCTCGGGGCTGGTCAAGGCGGGCTTTGCCGGAGACGATGCCCCCAGGGCCGTTTTCCCGTCCATCGTCGGCCGCCCGAGGCACCAGGTAATACGGAGGCAGGACGTGGGCAGGACAGAGCCTTCCCCCTCTCTCTAGGAGTCACCTCTGCTCTCCTCTTCCCTCCTTAGTTCTGCTGTCGTGTCCCAAATATCCTGCCCTTCCCTCTAAAGTATTACTAGTGACACATTTCCAGGTCTCTCCAGTACTTTCCCACTTTCTCCCTTTCCGCCAGCTATTTCCAATCCACCAACTGTCCTCTTGACTCTCTCCCTGTTCGCTGCCCTAATGAGCGCAAACCCAGCTTCCTATGAAGCTACTGCCCATGTCCATCCCCTAGGCCAGACCTGCTGCTGGCGCTAGTTTGAAGGCATCTCCATTGGCTGAATTGGCGCATGATGCAGTTTGTTTGAGGCCCTTCCCACCCATCCTGTCGTGCGTTTCACATACCAAACACCTCTTTCAATTTCCTCTACTTCTTTTGTCTGTCTTGGATCTTACCTTCTTACCACCCTCTAAGCCTCCTTTTCTGTGTTTCTATGTCATTCTTCTCTTTTGTCACAGTTAAATCAGTACACAGAAAATACCATACTTTTTCTCCTACAATTTCTGTGCTAAAAAATCTGTAATGCTTTTTTCTTTTTTTTTTTTTTTTTTTTTTTTAACTAAAACATTTGCAATTTGTATTTTGTTATCAGGAATAAATTACTGTGGAGGCTCCATTGTAATAGGGAGCATCTTCCTTCACTAGAAGGCTAATCTCCCTCTGTATCTTCTTGTTTATAAACTTTCTTTTTTTTTTTTTTTTTTTTTTTTTTTTTTTGTTTTTTTTTTTTTTTTTTTTTTGTCTCTGTATATTTTCCTGCTCGTGATACTGTGCAGTTTACTTTCAGTCAAAGTTTTGGACCAGAAAGAAGTAATTGAAAATAAGAGGTGCATTAAAAAAGAGGGAAAATCCTTTCATCTGATTAAAGGAAAAAGGATTTTACAAGGAAATGTCAAGTTCTGTTGACTTAGTATTTTAATAATGCTAATTTCTTTTCCTAAACCACCTTTTAGTGGTGCGACTGCTTGTACCATTCTTGAAAACAGCATAGCTGTCTGTGGTGTAATTGTTTGGGCTCTGAGATGTCTTCCTCAAATAATGCTTTTCTGTATCTTCTTCTCTTAGGGTGTTATGGTTGGTATGGGTCAAAAAGATTCCTATGTAGGTGATGAAGCTCAGAGTAAAAGAGGTATCCTTACTTTGAAATATCCCATTGAACATGGCATCATCACCAACTGGGATGATATGGAAAAGATCTGGCACCACACTTTCTACAATGAACTCCGTGTTGCCCCTGAGGAGCACCCTACCTTGCTCACAGAAGCCCCATTGAACCCTAAAGCTAATCGTGAAAAGATGACCCAGATAATGTTTGAGACCTTCAATGTACCTGCTATGTATGTGGCGATCCAGGCTGTCCTGTCCCTGTATGCCTCTGGTCGTACAACAGGTAAAATAAACAAATAAGCACTATTTAGATATCTCCTTCCAGGAGCTCTCCTTCCTTCCCACTCCAAATAGGAAGAAACTGCTCCATAACTCATTCAAACTTACAGAAAACTAGGTATTTTTAGTTTATAGAGATAACAGAACCAGAAAAGCCAGTACAAAATAGTCTATGGAAAGAACATTGTGGACCTGTCTGCATTGCTTTCGGAGAGGCGCTGTGGAACTGACTCTCCTACCGCTTGTCATGATGCAAATGAGAAGACATTCCTGGGAAGATGCTTCAGTTACACAAGTATTACACCAGTTTAAGGTTTAAACTGGGCCCAAAAGATGCCCATTATTGGATCAAGACAATCACTATTGCAAATACACTTACTGCTCAGTGTAGTAGCAGTAGAAGGCTGCTCATATGGATTACTCAAAATATGTACTGAAAACTGTTTCATGGGAAAGGTCACACCCAGCAGAAATATCCAGGCAAGCAAAGGCAAAAGGAACGGGCAAGATCTCTATGGCTAGAATAGAACGATGCTCCTTTATACTGCCTGAAAAATCCCGTATTTTGTTGTGCTTGTTGTTGCTTACTGTGCCTAAGGGCTCTAAGCATCTGCTAGGTGATTCCAACTGCTCTCTGACATTTCTCTACCAGGTATTGTTCTTGACTCTGGTGATGGCGTCACCCACAATGTACCTATTTATGAAGGTTATGCTTTGCCTCATGCTATCATGCGTCTGGATCTGGCTGGCAGGGATCTGACTGACTACCTCATGAAGATCCTCACAGAGCGTGGCTATTCCTTTGTGACAACAGGTCAGTCCTTTCAGCTTTGCCCTTTTGTGAAAACCCTCATCTCTGTCTTGGCCCATCTTCTTCCTCTAGTATTTTGCTTATCCAAACCTTGATTTGATTCCCATATATCTGCAGCTGAGCGTGAGATTGTTCGTGATATCAAAGAGAAATTGTGCTATGTTGCGCTGGACTTCGAGAATGAAATGGCCACTGCTGCCTCTTCCTCCTCTCTGGAAAAAAGCTATGAATTGCCTGATGGTCAAGTCATCACGATTGGTAATGAACGTTTCCGCTGCCCTGAAACCTTATTCCAGCCATCCTTTATTGGTAAGTGTTCCCAGGAAATTCTCCTTTCTGTAGGAGGTATGAATGAATCAGAAGAGCTAGGAGTTGTCCCACTCGTCTTCCTGCTTATCTCAATCTGGCACGAAATCAAACATAAATAAATAATGAGTTAGATCCTCTCGTCCCTGTAAGCTGTGCTTGATGTGAGCTCAGCTGGTAATTAGCTGAGCTCTGGGCTCTTGCTGCAAGTTTTAGATCAGGTTTTAGCATCACAATTTTTAGTGATAAAACGTACAGTTAGAATATCATCGTTAGGGAGTTAGACTTGAGGATCCTTATGGGTTTCTTCCAACTTGAGACAGTCTATGGGTCTGTGTCACTGACAGCAAGAATAGCTTTCAGTGCTGTATTTGCAAGACTTACACTTAAAACAGTATCTGACTGCATGAAGTTGTTGTGTCTGGGAGGGTAAAAAACCGGAATGAAGATGTGGGTATATTTATATGCACTGTAATTAAACATTGCCATGGTCAAAATGGTAAGATTTGCTGTTGTGAGTGCAGCTGACAGATATAGCAAATGCTTATATCCTAAGTCCTGAGCAATAAATGCAGTTGTTCATCAGCTGACATCTTACTGTGTGGATCTAGTGTCAGCCCTTTCAGGAAGCACCTGTTAAAATTAATGACTTGGAATGCAACCTACAAACACTTGCTTGTAGTTTCTTTTTCCTTACCACCAAGTACTGATCTCTTTGTCCATGTCTTGGCTATGTCGCCTTGATAAGTGGTACAGACTGTATTTTGAGTCGGCTGAAAAAGAAATGAAGCTTCTATTGTCTTCTTTAGTCCAGCTGTTTTCATTGCCTTTATTACTGTCTTTACTATATTCAACTAATGCTTTTTGTGAGACTCTGACATAACCTGATGCTCATGTTTTCTATTCTATGTAACTTTCTCCCATTACCATATACTAAATGAGTTTATCTTGTGTGTCTGCTTCTTCTCTTACTGTATATTTTGAGTATCAGTCTTTTGAACACGCATTATGATTCTTACCTTTTCTAAGAAATAATTTTCTTTTTCTAAGCTAGTTCTGTAATTCTATTTTTTATATTTTTCTCTAACATTTAATAATCAGCAGGTAATTTTATGATAAGGAGAAATGCCAAGAATTCTTTTCACGAAGACCTCTTGTATAATATACTGACCTACTGTCTTCTTTCTTCTCAAGGCATGGAATCTGCTGGTATTCACGAAACTACCTACAACAGTATCATGAAGTGTGATATTGATATTCGCAAGGACCTGTATGCTAACAACGTCCTCTCAGGTGGTACAACAATGTACCCTGGCATTGCTGATCGCATGCAGAAAGAGATCACTGCACTTGCTCCTAGCACTATGAAGATCAAGGTAAGGAATTTGACTCTGTACTATAAAATGTGGATAAAGACGGAGAAAATGTCCACATAGTTAAACTGGGATATAGGAACAACTCAAAAGTAAGATCAACAGCTCTTGGACAAATGAAGAGATTTTCCATTTAATCAGAATAATTATATTGGTTAGAAGGAAGTGTTAGAAAAGAGGAAAATATGGTTATAGATTTTCTTAAGGAATATTACATGTGTTGTACCAGCTGCCGAAGATCAATCCTGTTATTACAGAAAAGTTCTTTATTTACTTCAGGAAATATCTAATGGTTTGTTACATTGGTGATGCGGGTTGGTTGTTCAGAAACATAACTGTTAAATGAGGAATTTCTTGCCTTTCTTTATCCCAGATCATTGCCCCGCCTGAGCGCAAGTACTCTGTCTGGATTGGTGGCTCCATTCTAGCATCTCTGTCCACCTTCCAGCAAATGTGGATCAGTAAACAGGAGTATGATGAAGCTGGTCCATCCATTGTCCACCGCAAGTGCTTCTAAGCACTTTTCCCCTCAATTTACTTCCCACTCAGGATGACGACAATATGCTTCTTGGAGTCTTCTGGCAACCCTTCCTGAACTCTTCAGTCATTGTACAGTTTGTTTACACACCCGTGCAATTTATTTGTGCTTCTAATATTTATTGCTTTATAAATAAACAAGATCTGGGACTTGCAACCTACAAATGATTGTCTTCTGTTTTATTACAAGTATTCTTTGGTCAAAAAAATGAGACTAAACACCCTGGGATTCAGAAACTCCTGACAAAACCTATCAATGCCTTCACTGCATGCATGTCCTAACTGATGTAGGTATGTTAGCTCCTGGTTTTTTATTAGTAAGAATTTATAGCTTTAATTTTGAAACTTGAAACAAAAAAAGGATCATATATCAAGGCTTACATAGAAATAGCCTTAAGGATAGACCCAGTAAGCGGAACAAGTGGAAGAAAATCTCTCATATTTACTTAGCGCATTTAGAAATGTTTCTTCTGTTGCATTTATTATAACCCAAGTATTTTAATATTAATTTATTGAAAGCCGAAGCTTCTGTAAAAGAATTATGTTAATACATTTAGAATGCGATTTATAACTAATTAGCTCGATCCTAAGGAGTCATACAATTGTTTTCCGTGGGCTATAAATATTTATGACAAAACATTAATTCAAACTGACAGTTTACTCATCTTCCCCCATCTCTGTGAAGCCAGAGATAAAGAAGTGAAGCCTTTATTGCACTAATGCGCAAGAAACAAACTTTTGCTGTTTAAACATACAATTGTTACAATCACAATTATTTTCACATCATCATTCATATGTCTTGGGCAATTTTTTAATGCCTAATCTTTGCCATCCTTTGTTGCTATTTGACCTAGATAATACAATAATAAATTGCATACTTTCTGTGGGCTTTTATGTTCCTCACCATGACTTTTTATAACTGTGCTTTTTGATTTTTTTTAAAAAAAGTAATACCTAAAAACTGAAATACAGAATGATCTGGGACATTTTCATTAAAACAGTGGCACCAGTCAGTGTCAGTCGATTTGAACTATGTACAGACTGGAGTTTGCCTAAACTTGATTTGGGAACTCAATTAAAGCATTTATCAAACTGTGCATGTACTTAAGCAAATGCCATTGCAGATGTTTGAAAAGATTAGATTTCGTGCTAGTTTTATACTCAAATGCTCACTGGAAAAAAATAAAATAGACAGTTTACACAGTTGCAGGGAAAATTTCTTTTTCTCTCACCTCTCATTTATTTGAAAGGCATTAAAACTGACCATTAGATGTGACTTGCAATTAAGTAGAACTGATTTTTCTCTTTGAATATATGAAGATATATTTAGTGTCTGTCTCCAATTTACTTATCATTAGAAGAGAGTTTACTGAGGTGCTACTGTAATTGTCTCTGTCAGCTTGCAACTGATATATTCGAATATTTCTAGATATTTTTGCTTTGGGGCAGAGAAGGTGGATGGAGTTGATAAATACAAATAAAATTTAAACATAAACACAAAATTTTAACCGTCTTACAATTTAAACATACATGTAAACATTTTAGACAAAAATTAAATTTTAACATCAGTATGAAAATTTAAATAATAGATATGAAATACTTATTCCTACACCACACACAGTATTACTGAACTGCTGCTGCAAATAGGGCTTTTCACAATACAGTACAAATTAACTAACCTGTGAATCTGTTAAGGCAAAGTCAACGTCCTCTCCTGTTCTCAAGAAGATTGCCAGAGTAGGGAATCACTCTGAAGTTCATACCATGGAGAGATTTTGTATGTTTTGCAGACACTGGAACTTTTCCAGATTTCTGACCCACACAAATTTAAATACTCAAACTTAAGATGTTTGCCAATGATGTTTGCATATTGTTGTTCAGAATCACTGCACTTCTCTTGCTTGGTTTTGCTTTCTAATTTGAAAGATTCAGTTGGTCAGAAAGGTCATCTCAGGTATTAGTGTGAATTAATAGAGTGACACTGGACATAAATTGCAACTAATTGGAGCTTAAAATGTTAAGCAAGTGTGCAAAGGGCATGCTGAGTCAGATTCAGCGAATGCCTGCCTGCTTGGCTCTGACTGACGGGTCAAGAATGGCAGGCATACAGCTGGCACCATATTCGTGGCTGTGATCAGGAGTTCACCCTTGAGCATGTGTGCATGAGGAGGGAACTGAAGGAAGCCACTGATTGCACGACTGACAGAAAAATTCTTTCCATAGACATTTTGGGGTTTGTAATTCACAGTTTATGGAAATGGATATGAGCAGCAAGGATTGTGAAAAATAGTGATATGCTTGCATATATATATGTAGGATATGACTGAAAAGTAGCAATGCCTTATGTTTTTTCTCTTCTTATGGCATGTTTCCAGATGTATTCAGTTTTAATGCAATAATCCCATTTTTTTGCCATTGAAAATATGATTCACACCCAGTGCAGTGAAAACTAATAATTCAATGGGATAGGAACTACAATAACTATTTATAGAAGCAAAACTAGATCTTTTAAATATGGATAGTGTGACCGATCAATTTGATTGAGAAGAATTTGAGTGTTAAGTCTGTCCTGGTTTGGCTGGGTTAGAATCTCAGCCCAGCCATGCCAGGCAGGCCGTTAGCAGTTTCCAGTCAGCCAGGGCAGCTGCCCTAAGTGAGCTACAGGGGTAGCCCATCCCATAATGTCATGGTCATTATAAAGGGGGAAGGTTTGCTGAGGAGAGGGAGATCCTGTGGGGTTTCTGCTACTTATTCTCTATCTTCTCCCAGGGACTGCTTTCCAGTTGATTGTGATGACTGGATATTCATTTGGCTGAGTATATCTCTGTTGATATTGGTGGTGTTTTCGTTAAATGTGTTTCACTTCTACCCATGGGTCTGCTCTCCTTTTTCCCCATTTCCCCTCTTCCTGGCTGGTGAGTGATCGTTGGGTAATAGAGTGACTGTTACAGCTTAGGCCCAGGTACAGGCTAAACATAGAGAGTCATGGAAGCTGTAATTCAAAACACTGATAAGAGATGCCACTGTTAAAGTTTACCCTCTGTTTCCATTTTACAACAAGCCTTAATGATGGTGGTATATATTTTGTATGGCAAATGAGGATTGTGGAATGGGATGCAGAAATGAACTGGAGAGCACCTATACAATAACCAGTAAAACTATTGCAGATGCTTACTTGAAAAAGGCAAATTAAAAAGCAGCTGTACCCAACCCTGCTGTGATCATCAGTCTTCAACTCTGGAACACCTCAGCTAATGAAGATATTTACATAACTTTGAGACTAAAGGATGGCTGCTTACCTCTATTGCTCTTGATGAGATCCTCTTTGCATGGAAGTAGGAAAATTAATGTTTAGCCGGACTTATAGATTCAACACATGCATTTTGAAAAGCACTGTGGATACATAGCAAAATGTCTGTCTGTCACACCAAAGTGTGTTCTGTTACTTGACTTTGCAGATCCTTGTTGCTCTGTATGTAAAATGGAGTGGAAGCCATTCTGTGGAAGTCAGTTTGACACAATTTTTAAGCCACATAAAGAGATTTTATTCAATAATAAGGGCTAAAAAGCGTTAAGAAATACTGACATACATCAGTGAGATCTGGGACAAGATCTTATGGCCTGTTCTGGCAGCCAAAACACCACAGTCCAGTACTCCTGCTTTTGACAGAAGGGTGTTGGAGTATTACCACTGTGGCTGACCCACGGATCTCACAGAAAACTTTCTTTGTAGATAGAGGAGCATGTTGGCCCTTAGGGGATATTGAGGGATAGGATTATAATCAGAACAGAAAGCTTGTAATATCTATATGATGTATGTGCTAAGAACCTGAAAATCCTGTGATTCTTCTTTAAAAGATGGATTTTTTGACAGGAAATAACGAGATGTTTCAGAAGTCGCTCGTTAGTGCTTCAAGGCTCCTTCAAAAAAATCTGTAGGACAGTCATTTTAAACGTGATAGAGTTGTCTACTTTGCACTAATCTTCTCTAAAAAAGCTGGTTTAGCTAAAACTTTCAAAGTCAGCCTGAGGCAAAGAACTAATGTGAATATTTTTAGCTTGAATAATTGAATTCCATAGTGCGATAAGTTTTTTTAATGTAGAATAAGAAGATTTTGTACTTAAAAACATTAGGTGACTCTAAATATATGTGACAGACAGATTAACCTACAATAAAAACACAACAATAGAAAAATAGAGAAAAACCCATTCCCTGCTGGTTGGATAAACTGAATACGAGGCCCAGGCAGAGACTGATACTTTCTTCCAGTAACAGCTGAACCCAGTCCCACCCTGAAGCACCCTGTGATGGAAGCCTCTGTCAGTATCAAGACAAAAGAAAAAGAAAAAAAAAACATTATAAAATTGACTGATCAGTAAATCTTACTTATTATACTCAAGAAAGAAGCAATTCAGGCAGTTAACCTACTATCAATTACCTTTGCTTTTTGTTCTGAGAATGACTGTGATTGCTGACACTTTCAAACTCAACATATAGAAATGTTAATTAATGGAAAACTTTTATTGTGCTGGTACATAATTAAAGGATGGATTTAATTTGTGATTAAGCTGTCTTGTGTGAATAATGTTGGATGAAATTAATTTAGTGGGCATTAGCAAAAGTTAATATATCTGGTGGCAATTTTTTTTTATCATAAAGAAATAATTCAGAAAATACAGTGTATCTGAGGTCTACCAAATATAGGGGAGTATGCTCTCTTAGAGGAGATGAATTATATTTTAGAAACATATTTTTATCCAGGTGATATATATATATATATGGAAGAAAAAGTGGATGTGGACTAACATGAAGCTTTATTGACATAGATTTACATAACACGTAAACAATATAGTAAGTCTGGGGAGATACCCAATGAAATGCAGGTAGCAAGACAGTAAGAAAGAGCTTAAAGATTAGTTCTGAGTCTCTAAGCCGCTGAGATTTAGATCATCAGAAAGGGTATTGTCAATGATAATGAGGACTACATAAGCTTTCTTTCCAAAGGGTCCCAAATGCCTTATGAGCTACGCTCTGGCTTCTGGACATGCCTTTGCCAAAAGGTGATGCTCAAAGGGGAATCAAGGAGCTCCTGGGTGTTGGAGAAGGCCTGCAGCTTCAGCTCTTCTAGAGAGAGTGGAAGTGAGTGGCTGTAGCAGCACAGCAA